TTATTTATTTTGTTGGTTTTATATATATAAATATATATTCCTGTTACTTGTGGAATGCCCCAATCATGATTGCCAAAGAATGAATCATATTGCTTTTGTTGCTCTAAAAATGCAGAATTCTATTTAACCCTTCTTTACTGGGTGAGCAAAAAACATTAGAGTCATTCATTTCTCTTGCAATGAAGGTGATATATCATTACATAGAAACTTAATGCAATTCCTTATTTTTGCCTTTAAAGTAATACAGTGGAATCCTGTTAAAACAAGAGGGAGGGGTCTGGTGCGAAATGTCTGTTGTAGCAGGGTTCTCGTTATAAGGGATCCAGTAATAAATTCAAGGAAAATGATATAGGCCTAATCTATGAGTTTGATTTTCTGTTTACTTCTCTTTGTTTTCTCCTCCTCTGATGATTTTGTTCAACATGACCTCTAGATCAAAAATCGAATCAGGTTTTTTTCTCTAGCGCTAGCGATGTTGACAGTTTGGAGTTGACGATCAGAAAGAAAGGGATTTAGGCTAACTTGCCCCCTGTGTTGTCTCCCACCCCACCACACCCTTTGGTGCATTCTACCTGCTTGCACACGTCACACATTCGCTCCATTCATCACAGCACTGTGACCTCTCCATCCCCGCATCGGAGAAGTGAGAGGCATGGTAGGCTAGATAATCTAGACTAGGCTGGCCTATCACGCAATGCGATCTGCTTGTCTGCGCATGCCACACCGTCCCCACTCATTCGCTCGGGCCTTCATTGCGAGTTCTCCCATTCTTTGTTTCACAAGATCACCAACAAGTTTCTCAACTGGCGAGGTTTTACATATCTATAAATGGCCTATGCGCAGTGGACAGCAGCAGCAATATTCCGCTATAAACGACTTGCGAGTTTGTCTGATTGCGCTATAGCAGTATTTTATTTACTAAGGTAAAGAAGGGGAAAATGGGGTATTAGAAAAGTGTCTTTACAACAGACTTCTCGTTATTTCAGGACTCATTATAAGTGGACTCCACTGTAACAGCTTTCCAATATAGTATAAAGGTCTGATAAATATTGAAGGCTTTGAATGTGTATACGTTATACTGAGGTATTTCAAAGTTGTCTGTTTCAAGGTTGTTGCATGTGACTAGTGTGACAGGGTCATTACCACACTGAGCTTTTTTGCTGTCTTCCATTTTGTACAAATATTTTTGTTACCACCCTCACAATTTACTTTTGGGGAAAATTAATTCTTTTGATGTGAACCACTGTGCAAAATGGCTTTTGTAAAACTGTTCATGAATTTAATGTCATAATTGTTTGATTTCTTCATGATAGTCTGTGCTTGAAGAATTTGAATTTACAAACCCATACCCACATATATTATGTTTTAGCAATTCATATCTTGGTCCTTGAGTTCATATTCTTCAAGAATTCTTTGTACCTCAGTAGTCTATGCTCAAACGCACTGTGTGTGGGGAGGGTCCTTGACAATACTTATATATACAGAAAATGCATATTTATGTGAACCTATTTGAAATCAGGACACTTATTTTTTACCTTGGTTGTAATTTTTTTCATGATCACTTCCCTTCGATTTTTTATCCCAAGCTTGAACCTGATCCCCAGAAATGCACGCTTCAGAATGTCGTGGGTTAAATAAATCTCTCAGTCAAACCTAGAGAATTCAGGTGTTTGGGCCCTATAGGCTCAAGATACTTGGGCTTAAAGGGTTAAGAGCTTTTGTGTATTTCTTTTCCTTTCCCACATGTCTCATGATATTAATGTTTTTGTGTTTTCTTTTCATCACTTTTTAATGATGAGAAATAGGGTTATGGGGGGGGGGGGGGTGAGAGAGAGAGAGAGAGAGAGAGGGGGGGGGGGGGGGTGAGAGATAAGATGTAGTGGTACATTATAATCAGAAAATTGAAAGATAAAATTAGAATGATCTATTGTAAATCTTATACTATTGGGTAAATCCATTGGCAGATTTTGTAGAATGAAATTGTGCTTTTGGAAGTGACCATAGCTTTCCGCTAACTCTAAGTTAAAAATACGTCATATCATGTATAAAAAAATGTGCATTTAAGCAGAGCATATTTTGACAAATTGTTCATTTTTGCAAGGACTTCTAATATCAGATAACAAAAATGAAAATAAATTGGATCTCTTTCTATGCGATACAGATTTCCTGCATAAAATATTGGCTTTCAATGTAAATTTAAAAGAAAACGAATTTCCGTTTTATGGGATACAGTACCTTCACCCTCTTTTCTTTTCATTCCTTACAAGTATCATTCATGAAATATGACACATTTTTTTAAAATGCTTATTTTATTTATTTTTTTTTTTTTTTTTTTTTTGGGGGGGGGAGAGGGGGTTCACGAGTCTTATTATTT